CAGGCCAATGGGGGCTGCGGGAAGTGGCGGCCAGCACATCCCTTGGCGCCCGCTGCTTCCCGCTGCCCCCATTGGCCTGGAGCGGTGAACCGCGGCCAGTGGGAGCCGCGATCGGCCGAACCTGCGGACGCGGCAGGTAAACAAACCATCCTTGCCCACCAGGGTACTTACCCTGGCGAGCCGCGTGCCGAAGGTTGCCGATCCCTGGTGTATTGGATCACCTCTCAGAGAGGGCAGAGTTAAGGTTGCTTTGGCCCGTACCTTAACTTTGCATTTGCTGGTGTTCAGAGCCCTGAGTTTTGCTGAACTGTTTTCTGGAAGGACCTGAGATACCTCTGAGAACCTTAACTCTGCATTAGCAAAGATTTTTGTAAATGTCTTTCCTAGTTTCTTGAACAGAAAGAGGACTCCTTGTAGTAGAGATTAATGTCATTTAGGCAGTTGTAGTCCTCACTTAGGTTTGCAATCGATACCTGACTGTGCTAATAACACAAAGACCTAACTTTTATATAGTGCTTTTCATCAGTAGAGCTCTAGGAACTTTATTCATTATACCCATTTTACAGATGGGGAAACTGAGGCACAGAGCAATGAAGAGACTTGCCCAAGATCACCCAGAAGGCCAGTGGCAGAGCCAGACTAGTCCCAATCCAGTGGTCTCTCCACTAGGCCACATGGTTGCTATGTCATTCTTCAGCACTCCTCACCCTGCCTGTACATTTTGCTACAGTGCAATGGGGATTATGGGGTTGTGCTTTGAAAGGTTTACAGTGTATAGACGCTAACAGGACTGGTGCGAGAAATCTGAGACACAGTTCATGGCCCAGCATCTTGACAGTTCTGTAGTGGTTATAGTGACTGTAAATGAGAGAGAAAACTACTAAGTCTGACTCCTTCTCCATCCTCTGCCCCATCATCCCTCACAACATGTAGCCCCTCCTTCCCCCTCCAACATCCCAGCTCTCCCTCCCCTTGCCTCACCATGAAGCCATTAGTTAGCATTGTCAAAGCCTTTAATATGTAAGATGTTGCTCCTTGCTGTCTCCAGATGGGGTAGACATACCTGTGCTAGCTCTGATCAAGCTGTCGTGCTATAAATGGCAGAGTAGACATAGTGGCATGAGCAACCTTCCTGAATATGTACCTAGGGTCCTGGGCAGGATCATACCTGGAGAGCTAGCCCATCCCCCCCGCTCACATCACCATGGCTACACTTTCTCACTCTACCTCAATCAAAGCTAGTGGGTATATGTCTCCCCACACTGGAAATTACAGCTCCAGCTCCCGCTGTAGACATCCCAATACAATGTTACCAGCTTGCAGAATTTTATCACAAGTCTCATGACATTTGATGGGTTTCTTAAAGCCACAGGTCCTGGAGGCCTGTGATTAGGTGAGAATCTCAGCTTTCATTTTGTTATAAAGTAAGTTTCTGTCCCTTGTAGTTACAGATAAATGCTTGGAAATGTGACCCAAGGCAACTTTAAAGGTTCAGAAATTAGAAGGCAAAGAACAACCCCCATTTTATGATTTTTTAAAAAATCTCTTTATTTTTAAGCCAATCTCATGATTTGGGTGTGGGACCTGACTTGGCAATACGAATCCTGTTGCACACACATTCCTGTCTGTCTTGGTTCCTCTCCACTTTAATTTTCTTTTTCCTCTGACTTATTTCACAGCACAGTTCACAGTGACTGGACCTGACCATCCAATCACTGCCTCCCTAGGTGGGGTGGCAGTCCTGCCCTGCCACCTCTCCCCCAGGATGAGTGCTGAGAACATGGAGGTGGGATGGTTACGATCCCAGGACTCTGCAGTCGTGCACCTGTACCGTGATGGGCAGGATCAGTATGGAGAGCAGATGCTGGAATATAGAGGAAGAACTGAGCTCTTGAAAGATGACATCACCAATGGGAGAGTTTCCCTGAGAATACGCGATGTCCGACCCTCCGATGATGTGCAGTACACGTGTTTTTTTCAGTCCGGTGTCTCTTATGAAGAAGCTTTATTGGAACTGCAGGTGGCAGGTCAGTGACTTGTGGTATTTTGATGTCTTCAACAGGGTAATAAGTGGAGTCTGAGGGGTCATTCTGAGATGCCACCTGATGTGTCTCATTATAGTGGGGCAGTAGCTCTGCTCTGGATAAGGTTTATTCTAGTTCACTGTTTAACAGCTGTTTTGTCTAAGGGCTCTAAAATCCACACACATACTCAGATTGTTTTGAAAATTGCTGTGACATATTGGAGTCTGGGATAGGATTAGTGGGCTAAGATTGAGTTCATTAGAGCAAGGAATTAATGAGATACACAAACACCCCTAAAAAGTCAGGTGATGTCGGCATGTTGTGGTTATTTCAACTTTTTTGTGCACACCTGGGACCATAACAATGGTTGATCCTCCCCACACTGATGTCATGAGCTGGGATTGATCTTGGCTTGTGTCTGGCACCCACAGGGTAACAGTAGTTGATACACAGAGTCCTGTAGCTCAGCGCCTGGTATAAGAATGGGAGAACTGAGGAATTCTCCCCCTCCCCCAGGACAGGGGAAGGCAGGAGGCCTGATACCTGAAGGTGCTGCCAGAGAGACCAGCCAGGGCACAGGTGTAGCTAGTTCTGTGACCGTGACATGAGGTTTAGGTCAGATGCAGCGAATACCAGACTGCTGACAATCCCCATGGCAAGAAGACACCTCTGTGCACTTCTACTGACACAGCCTACAGACCTCAGCAGTGAAATGAGACATATGTAATGATCCCTCAAGGTACATGTACCTCTCCTCATATTGCAGTGACAGCTCTGCCAGCCTGCTTGAATTAATCCCTTCCCCAGTCACTACAGCGACTCCGAACACAGTCTCCATCAAGCCTGTGTATTATGGAACCACCCTCACTGAACCGTTCCCAGCGTTTATTGCCAGCCCAGGAGGCAGAGTCCAGGTGGCAGGGCTGGGGCGGTGTGTGCCATTATTTTTATCTCTTGGGTTTCAGGAGTTTAAGTTTAGCTGCTTTTTGCATTTTGGAAATGCACAAAGCCCTGCTGGGCAGCCTTACTTCTGCATTGGCAAGTAGTTTGTGAGCATTAATATGTAACTATAAACCCCTTGTGGCCGAGATGGAGTCTGCTCTGCAGAGCGGCTCCGGCCAAGAACAGGCGCGAACTGGAGCGCAGCGGGGTAACTCCTTCCACCCCAGGGAACAGGCTTGGTCTACACTTACCCCCCAAGTCGAAGTAAGGTACGCAAATTCAGCTACGTGAATAACGTAGCTGAATTCGACATACCTTACTTCGAACTTACCGCGGTCCACACGCGGCAGGCAGGCTCCCCCGTCGACGCCGCGGTACTCCTCTCGTATAGGTGGAGTACCGCAGTCGACGGCGAGCACTTCCTGGTTCGATTTATCGCGTCCAGACCAGACGCGATAAATCGAACCCGGAACTTCGATCCCCAGCCGCCGAACTAGTGGCTGGGTGTAGACATACCCTAAGACTCCTCATAAATCTAGACACAATCTTATCATGACATCCATACAGCAAATACTTTACAAACAGCACCAACAAAATTAGCATCAAACATACAGATTTCTTCACTACCAGATGATTCACAGGCCACACACCCTGTGCATTTAAAACATACACTGCTGATTTGGTATTAATGCCACCACATTGCTCTGAGTTGACCGAGCAGCAAGCACCCAGTTCATCCAAAAAGCTGGTATCCGTCTCTTTGTGATTATCTTCTCGATGCAATCAGTTAAAGCAGGACTGTGAGTGAGTATCAGCACTCAGGGCAGAGATCTTCACCTCCCCTCTGGGTCTAACTGAAGACTTTGGTACTTTTTTTCTTTATATTGGGAGTGGAATTTGCCCCCACTCTTGGAGATGCCTTACTGAGCATACTGCAAGAGTTTATTAACTTTTTCCTTTGTTCACCTGTGTTACCCGCACACTCTATGACACCCCACCCTTACCCAATTCCTAGGGCTCAGGGGGCACTCTTCTGTGGATTTGCAGGGTATTTTACCAGTGAAAGAGCCTTACACAGTAATATCCTTATCCTCTATTTATTAACAATTACGGAGCAGAATACACACACTAAGCATACAATGCTATGCTCACCAATCCTGATCAGGCAGGCGGACTTTCCCTGTTGGCCAGGCAAGGTCAGTCTCTGGATTCTGGTTGCTCCACAACACAGTCATGCAGAGGATTTGTAGCAGCTCTGATCTTGGGCTGTGTCTTACAGGTGAGTTCTTCTTCTTCTTCTTCTTCTTTTTCTGTTCCTTCTGCTGGTCTCCTTGGACCCCAGGTTACATAGTGAAGCTTGAGTCCTGCTTAGCTTAACCAATCATTTAACTAAAATATTACAAAATATTCTTTGATCAATCCTAACATACTGTGAAACAATTCTTTAACCAATCATATCCTCCCCCACCTTAGTTGATTTAAGTCTTGCAAAATTAGTTATGCAACAGACAGAAACAATCAAAAAACCAAACAGAAACCATATAGATAAACAATAGAGAAGTAGGGACAATAAAGGCAAAACAATAATGAAGTAGAGGTTTCACACCCACAACTATTGATAAGTGATTCCTTGCCAGACAGAATGCCATCAGGCAAAGTTTTCTTTAAATATCTTAAGAGACTCCTGGTTTATCTGATGATGGTGGGCACTATTAGGAGAGGATCACCTTCTTAACAGCCCGACAGAGCCGTAACAAGGAATTTTTGCACCCGAGGCAAGGGCCAGCTCCAGTCTCTTTGGCAGCAATTCGGCGGTGGGTCCCTCAGTCCCTCTCAGAGAGAAGGTCCCACCGCCGAATTGCCACCAAAGAATGAATGAAGCGGCGGCGGCAACTCGGCGGCAAGTCCTTCCATCCGAGAGGGACTGAGGGACCTGTTGCCGAATTGCCACCGAAGAAGCGGCAGCAGTAGCTGCCGCCGCGATCGCAGCTTTTTTATAGACTCATAGACTTTAAGGTCAGAAGGGACCATTATGATCATCTAGTCTGACCTCCTGCACAACGCAAGCCACAGAATCTCACCCACCCACTCCTGTAACAAACCCCTAACCTACGTCTGAGTTGTTGAAGTCCTCAAATCGTGATTTAAGACCTCAAGGTGCAGAGAATCCTCCAGCAAGTGATCCATGCCCCACGCTGCAGAGGAAGGCGAAAAACCTCCAGGGCTTCTGCCAATCTGCCCTGGAGGAAAATTCCTTCCCAACCCTAAATATGGCGATCAGCTAAACCCTGAGCATGTGGGCAAGACTCACCAGCCAGCACGCAGGAAAGAATTCTCTGTAGTAACTCAGATCCCACCCCATCTAACATCCCATCACAGACCACTGGGCATATTTACCTGCTAATAATCAAAGATCAATTAATTGCCAAAATTAGGCTATCCCATCATACCATACCATTAATTGCCAAAATTAGGCTATCCCATCATACTATCCCCTCCATAAACTTATCAAGTTTAGTCTTGAAGCCAGATATGTCTTTTTTTCTTTCTTTTTTTTTCTTTCTCCGATTGGGCGGTAGAGCTGCACCCTCTGCTTTGTGCGCCCGAGGCAAGTGCCTCACTCGCCTCGCCCTTGTTATGGCACTGCAGCCCGATATTACATTGTTTTAATGTAATTTAGATGGAATGTGAGGATGGGACTTTCTGCTTCTTGGCTTATGGCTGCTGCTCTCCTAATGTGGCTGCAGAAAAAAGTCCCCAGACCTTACACTTGCTAATCCCTGACTGGCTGGAATCAGTGGACTGTTTAAAAGGAACAGACACTGAAGCACGGGGGATGGGATGGGGGGTTACATATAATTTCCACCATAGGCCCTTTAACCTCAGTTCTTGTCTGTGGCTCTTGGGCATTTCCCATGAGTCTTTTGGACCAAAGCCTTGTGAGTCACACCCCTGCTGGGAGGGGACTCAGTAGCCTGTGCTCTTTTGGGCAAGAATCCCATGGGGAAGGGTCCAGACACCTGTCCCTTCTCTGTCTCTCCTGGGAGGTTGTTTCCCTCTCTAGGCTGGTCTGTGTGAAATTTCCAAACTCCCTGAGGGCCTCTCTGCATACACACTGACACCACAATAGTGAAATCTGTATGAATTCACACCTGGTTAAGCTACAAGACTCTTGCTTCAGATTAAGAGAATTTTATTTCAGTTTAGCTTGTCAGTACTAAAAAAATCCAAGTGTCACTGGGTGTGGGAGGCATGACCTTAACCATCATTTCCTTCTATCTAGTGTTTGTGTTTCTGTTTTGCTGAGTGTATTTCCTGGCTTTCGGAGGTACCAGTTTTCTGCTACCCACTTCTGCATTCTGGAAGGGTACAAGGCCCTGCCAACACAACCCAAACTCCCCTATTACAAGGTTTTTTTATCTGTGAATTAATGTAAGGCTTGTCTACACATACATGTGCACTGCTTTCGATGAACTAATGCAAACCTCTGTGTGGACACTTAAATGGGTTTGGAAATGGCTTATATTGCTTTAGCTTGAGTCAATTCCTTCTTGATTTAAGAGTGTCCACACAGGGATTTGCCCTGGATTAACTAAAGCAGTTTAACTAAACTGGAGCAAGTTTGTGAATAGAAAAGCCCTGACATTAACATTTATTTTACTGTATATCAGATAAGAATCTGACCAGATTAACTGATCAACCACACTTATGAACTCTCAGTCAATTATTAGTTGAATGGGAAATGGCTTTTGATAACAGTGTAATAAAACTTTTGGCTCTTTACTGGGCACTGTAGGATTATCACAAGTCCATTTATTTCTTCTGTAGATATGGGCTCTGATCCTGACATCTCTGTGGAGGGACATCACGATGGAGGGATCCGGGTAGTGTGTCGATCATCCGGATGGTACCCAGAGCCCAAGGTTCAGTGGAGAGGTCTCCAGGGGAAGATCTTACCATCGGCCTCTGAAGAAATAACCCCAGAGGCCAATGACCTGTTTCAAACAGAGATTGCCATTGTTCTAACAGAAGAGTCCAACCAGAAAGTGTCCTGCTCTGTTAGGAACCCCCGACTCGACCAGGAGAGAGAGACAGCCATTTCCATAGCAGGTCAGTGCCTGTCCGTGGATAGACCGAGATGCTGCAGACATGAGCGGAGAGTATTTATCATTGTGTCTCCTGTTCATTGGCCCAAACCTTCAAGGTGCTGAGCACATCTTGTAAAGTCCTGAGCAACCTCAGTTCTCTTGGGATATGTCTACACTGCAGTTAAATACTTGCTGGTGGCCGATGCCAGCTGGCTCAGGCTAAGGGGCTTGGGCTAAGGGACTGTTAAATTGCGGTGTAGACGATCGGGTTTGGGCTCTAAGGTGGGGGAGTCCCAGAGCCTGAGCCCGAACACCTACACTACAGTTAAACAGCCCCTTAGCCCGAGCCCAGTGAGCCTGAATCAGTTAACATGGGCCAGCTGCAGGTGTCTAATTGCAGTATAGACGTACCCTTCGACTCCAGTAGGAGCTGAGGGTGTTTAGCACCTTGAAGGCTGGGACACCATTGGCCAGATTTTCATAATAGCTCAGTACCCAGCAATCATCCTTCTTCTCAGTAGGGGTGGGGGAGGGAATTCTCCTTTGTTCTTGTGCTGTAGTGAGGACTGTGTTAGAATTGCAAGCTGTCACTTTAAGAGTGGGGGGGTTTCCCGGTCCTGTTTGCAGGCTAGAGGGCTCTGTAGCAAAGCGTGTGAGCAGAATCAGGGCTTGTCTACAGGAACAGTTAGTTTGTGGCAAGTTGGGGTGTAAATCTGTCTCACAATAGCCTGCCGCACACTAACTGTCCATGTGGACCCTGCTACATCCACTAACGATTCCATAGTGAGCTTTGATCTGCCCCACTTTGAAACAGGAACAGATCAAAGTGCACCAGGGAACTTTTAGTGCAGTGCAGCCAGGTGCACACAGCCAGTTAGGGCACAGCAGGCTAGTGCGAGGTGGATTTACATCCCAGCCTGCCATGCACAATCTGTGCCTATAGACGAGCCACCATAAAGCAAGGTGGGGTGAGTTGTGCCCACTGCCTCAGGAAGCAGCCCCCTTCTCTGTTTTGGGGTTCTTGTGTCTTAAGGTTCTGGATTCTAGGACATAAAGTCATGTTACGCTGCAACCTTCCAGCAGGAGTATTTATGTTTGTATCTAACGTCTCTGTGTGCTGTGACCATCACAGTTCTCAGTGGGGGTGGGGGAGGGAATTCTCCTCTGTTCTGAGTGAGAGCTGCTGGTTGCTGTGTATTTATGAAAATATGGGTAATAAAGTCATTTTTCCTGAACAGCACAAGAGAGCCCTCTGGATATGGTCTGAGCATCGCTACTTAGATTACATCTGAAAATACCAGCAATAAAAGTTGAGTCCCAAAATAGGCAGAAACAAAATCTTACCTGAGAGCATCTTAATTTTTAGGAAAAAAAGTTTGTGATTTTATGAATTATTATCTACCAAATAACTTGGTTACTATCGAATGAATATTTCAGCACTATAATAGTAAGAATGTTGTATTTGTAAAGCACCATTCATCTGAGGTCTCATAGTGCTACACTACTGGTTAGTCTATGATATGCCCAGTATTACCTGATTGCTGTGTTCACAGCACACACACGGAGAATTACAAACAAAATATAAATAATGTTCCCAAAAGGCTGCAATGTAGGACTGCTTTATTTCTAAGAATCCAGAACTCTAACATGCCACAGTCAAATACAGAGAGAGACAAAGCAGGCTGCTCCTTAAGGCAGAGAGCAGTGGCGGCTCCAGGCACCCGCGCTCCAAGTGGGTGCCTGGGGCGGCAAGCCACGGGGGGCGCCCTGTCAGTCCCTGAGAAGGCGGTAGTCAGGCAGCCTTCGGCGGCATGCCTGCGGGTGGTCTGCCGGTCCTGCAGCTTTGGCGGCAATTTGGCGGCGGGTACGCCGAATCCGCGGGACTGTGGACCTCCCGCAGGCATGCCGCCGAAGGCTACCTGCCTGCCATCCTTGGGGCGGCGGAATAGCTAGAGCTGCCCCTGGCAGAGAGGTAGAACCAAACCTACCCTGCTCTAGACTGGCTCTTTGCAGACTGACTGCAGAGGACCCAGATGCATGTTTCCTACAGAGCCCTTTAGCCTGCAAGCAGGACTAGGAATCCCCTCAGGATTTCAAGTGTCAGCTTGTAACTTTTACACAGTTTTCAATACACCACACTAATCACTTAGCAAAGAACCATCTAGTCAGCCATTGCTCCAAGGCCCAGGGAAGAGGACTCTGGAGGAATTTTTACTCTGAATCTATAGGCTCAAGTTTTCTTTTTATTAAAATCCTGTATTAGCATATTTTGGTCCAGACACTCTCATGTAGCTGAGCCCCTGGGAGCACAGGGGAGTTGGGGGTGTCAGGGAGCTGGTCACAACTCTCTGATTCTGAGGGCCAATCTGCACTAGCTGCAGCCTCGGGATCACTTAGAGCAACCTAGGGAATGCCTGAACTTACACTAGTGGGGGATAGATGTAGCATAATGGAGCTGCACCCTACCCCCTCCCTATCCCCAACACACTCCCTCCCATTAATTAACCATGTTCAGTAACCAGGCTAAAGCTTGGGCTTCCATTGGCTTAATAATAAAGCACAAAGCAGCCACATCTCCCTGTGTATTTTCCTGTGAGTCTTTTAACTAGTCACAGTGTCACCACTAGCACAGTGTCCTGCCTTCATTCTGCGTGTTTGCGCCCTAGTCAATGGCACTTTCTCTTGCAGAGCTGTTTTTCCAAAGGGTCAATCCCTGGATGGTGACTCTGGGGGTGATCCTGGTTCTTCTGGCTGTTCTCATGGCCCTGGCCAGTTACTTTTTCTGGAGGCAACGCAGAGCGAAAGGTGATGTAATGAGAGGGGGGAACTTGGTGAGAGACAGACAGAGATTTAAAATAAAACCAAAAGTAAAGATACAGGGATTAAGGGGCTTTGATTCAGTGTTCAGAGGAGTTTCAGGCAGTGGGAGCTGGGCTGAGGGTGAAGAGGGAGCTGAAGAAAGTATGATCATGTTTGAACCAAGATGTGTCAAGTGGTTTCAGTTCTCACTCTGGGATCCAGAGCATATGTGACTCTGAACTGTTCCTGGGGATCCACACGACTCTGTTTGAAACACCATGTGGGGCTCAGTGAGCTGGGCTTGGAGCCCCGACATATGGAACTTGGCTGCTGGCAAGAAAAACAGAATGCGAAGTAGAAGAGGGGTTTGTTAGGGCCCAACTCTGCCCCCCCAGTCTGTGCTTGTGAGTAGGAGCTGTGGATGGGCAAAGCAGTGACTGTGCAAACGGAAAGGTTAGCACTTATCTACACTCAGATTTGCTCTGCCTGAGATCCAAATATTTTATTACAACTAATGTTTGGAATCAAATTCACGTCACACAGGTTTAAAGAAAAGGCACTGTACATCTGGGGTTATGAAAAATTAAAAGTCTTGGTTACAAAGCTGATGAGATACGTAGGGTATATAACAAGCATTGTCCCAGACTGAGGTGTGTGAGTTTTTAAGTGGTAGGGAATAAGTGTTCTTGGGTACGCCACCCATAGAGTGTATAGAGTCAGCGTCAGTAGCAGTAAAGTGGATTGGTACATGGATGGAGTTTGTCCCTCGGTCCGTTGGTGTCTGGTGGGTCTTCTATAGACAGATACAGTCTGTCAGGGAAGGAAATGGGTTATTTCCCTGACTGTGTCCCTTGTCGGCGGTCTGGTTCTGGTATTGTCGGTGTCCTGTGATGTGCTCAGTGTATATGTCCCTGGACCATCTGATGACATCGGATACCATGAGCTGCCGCATTAGCCGGGTGTAGTGCTGACCAACTCCACACGCTCTCAGCACCGGCTCGTTGTTGGGGTCCCATGTGCCCAGAGCTCTGACGATCAGGGCGTGGATCTGGACCTCGTAGCCCTGGGCTCTCAGAGTGTCAGCCAGCAGGGTACACAGGGCAATGGACTCTCTATTGTAGCATAAGTGCTCAGCTGTAGTTTTTTCTCCAGTTGCAAAGGGCAGAACTGCCCTGCAGTGATCTATATGTTTATAGAGATGCTGGAATTTTCACAGCTGCCTAAGGGATCTGAATGTTCAATTTTTGTTTAAATTAATGGATACTGAGTGTGCAAACCCCCAAGGCAGCTGTGAAAGTCCCATCCAGAGGGTTTTCTCACCTGAAGGGCTGTGAAAATTATGTAGAAATGTACCAGTGTCGGAAGAATTGGGAAGGGGAAATGTCTGTTACAATGATTTCCCAGTGGGGATGGAAGCAGGTAATTCAGAGAAGCAGAGAGGAGCTTTGTACTTGTGAAAGCTGGAACTGGGTGTTGCACCTTTAGAACTGTCACCTTCACACTCTGACAGCACCAGGTGTGAACTGGTTTAGTTAGTGGCTTTAGTTAACAGGTACATTATGTGGGTTGAGTACACGTTTAGGTGACAGGGCTACACTCATTTTGAGTTGTATGTAAAAGTCATGTATATGCCCAGAGAGAGAGAGAGAGAGAACTCTGCTGGGCTCATTTTGAAGCATTAAACAATCAGAACAATGAACTGTCACTGCCTTGTTCCCTGGCCTTTCAGAGAATTCTCTGCAGCAGCTGCACTGGTGAGCTGTGGCTAGGATGCTGTAATAACACAAACACACTCAGGACTTGCACAGCTGGTCTGAGACGCTGCTCACACTGGGTACAAGATGGTCTCACTCAGGCTGTTTTCAGCAGTGATTGGCAGACATGACGCTACCTCCATTTCCTGCAGTGTTGGTACCCCAGGGCTGACACATCAAGGGGACGAGCTCCCAGTGGAAAGAGCTGATCTTAGAGGCGATATCTATAGGGGCCCATCCACACACCCCTCCCTGGCTCCTGCTGACCTGAGCACCCAGCTAAAGAAAGGTCTCTCCACCCTGTTCTTAGCTGGGACACCCCCATCTACCCAGGCCCTAGGGGGAACTGTTCCCATGTATCACTAAGACCAGGGGACAGGCACCTGCCACAGGGTTAGGAGTTGGCCTAGAATGGAGCCAATCAGACCCTGTCCCTTTCCCAGCCCAGCTCAGTGCCCCATTCCCATTGCTCACTTCCATCCTCCATCCCCCCAGTCAGGAGATGGGGGGGGGGGGGGGAGAGGGTCAGAAGGAGCTGGAGCTGTTCAGGGGATGGGCACAGTGGGGAGCAGATAAGGAACTGGACAAAAAAGAGACCTTCTCCCCCCACACACACCGTCCCCCTCAATAGCCAGATTAGACACGAGTGTGACAGGGCCCAGGCAGTGGGGATGCTGGCTGCAGGGATGTTGAGACAGATCTGTCTGTGTGTCCTATTTGTCGGTCTGTCTGCCTCGCTTTCATTGGGGGAGGGTTTGAGCATTGGCCTGCTAAACCCAGGATTGTGAGTTCAATCCTTGAGAGGGCCATTTGGGGATTTAGTTGGGGATTGGTCCTGCTTTGAGCAGAGGGTTGGACTAGATGATCTCCCGAGGTCCCTTTCAATCTATAGTTACAGCACAATTACGTTAATAGCCGGAACTGCGCCTTAAACATAATGGTGAAATCTCACCCTTTTCTCCCTCTAGAAACTCTGCGATCGGATAAGGAGAGCGAGAAAGGTCAGTGTCTGGGCCCATCACATTAGCTGGCAGTAGAGTTATCCCCATAAACACAACAGGGTGAAATCTTGACGGGTATTATTAATTATTAATTAATCATTGGAACAATTTACTGAGGGGTGGAGCCCCCCTTTGGGGAAGCTAGCCCCAGCTCCACCTCTTTCATGCATGCCCCCCCACAGCCAGAGCCCCAAGACCCCTATCCCTCCCCCTCCCTTGGCTGGAGGCCGACTGAAGCCCCGAGCCCTCTCCTCCCACCTGCCTGGAGCTGCCCCAGGTCAGCGGCAGCTGTGCTGTGCCCTCCCCAGACCCCAAGCTGCCTGGGGAAAAACATCTCTCAGGTCTGGAAGAAGCTTTTGCTATGCCCCATGCAGGTTCTGGGTTGGCTGAGGAGGTGCTATGTGCTACTCATCTTCCTGGGTTCCTCAGTAATCTCCAGTCCAAGGAAATTACTGATTGAACCCAGGAAGTTGAATAGCACATCCCACCTCCTGAGCTGCCCTGAACCTGCATGGGGTGTAATAAATCAAAAACTTCCCCCCAAAACCCCACAAACGGGGGTCCGGTGGCCGTGGCAGTGGCAGGGGAGGCTGAGCCTCTCCTAGCCTATTATACCCACTGCCCATGCCAAGGGTCATGGTGGATTCTCCAGCACTGGCAGTTTTTAATCAAGATTGGGTGTTTTTCTAAATGATCTGCTGTAGGAATTATTGTGGGGAAGCCCCTGGCTTGTGTTATGCAGGAGTCAGACTAGGTGATCACAATGGTCCCTTCTGGCCTGGGAATCTGTGAATTGATGAATCACCTCTCACTCTGTTCTCTCTCTAGAGACCCTGCTGTCGGAATGGGAGGGAGAGAAAGGTCAGTGTCTGAGCCTGTTACAATATTAACTCTATCCCCATAAACACGACGGGGAAGTCTCACCTCTCCCTCTTTTCTCCCTCTAGAGGCTCTGCAATCTGAGATGGAGAGACAGAAAGGTCAGTGTCTGGGATCAATGGGATCCGATTGATTTTAAATGTAACCTTAGTTCTGTATTTCCTGAGTTTATAACACTTGGTTTGGGGATATTACAAGATCCCTGTAATGTGCTTTACCCTTAAATTACAAGTATGTCCTCTCCACCTTAACCCCCACTAATCATAGAATCGTAGGACTGGAAGGGACCTTGAGAGGTCAACTAGGCCAGTGTCCTGCACTCATGGCAGGACTAAGTATTATCTAGACCAGGGGTGGGCAAACCTTTTGGCCCGAGGGCCACATTGGGGTGCGAAACTGTATGGAGGGCCGAGTAGGGTAGGCTGTGCCCCCCAAACAGCCTGGCCCCTGCCCCCTATCTACCCCCTCCCACTTCCTGTCCCCTGACTGCCCCCCTCAGAAACCCTGACCCATCCAACCCCCCCTGCTCCTTGTCTCCTGACCGCCTCCTCCCAGGACCCCCCGCCCCAAACTGCCCACCCCAGGATGCCACCCCCTATCCACCGCCCCTGCTCCCTTTCCCCTGACTGCCCCCCAGCCCCTATCCACCCCCCCCCGCCCCCGACAGGCCCCCTGGGACTCCCCGCCCTATCCAACCACCCCTGTTCCATGACCCCTGACCGCCCCGCCCCAGAACCTCCGCCCCATCCAACCACTCCCTGTCCCCTGACTGTCCCTGGGACCCCCTACCCAACCCCTCCACCTTCCCCTTACCGTGCCGCTCAGAGCAGCAGGAGCTCGCAGCCCCACTGCCCATGCGGTGGCCTGACTGTGGGGGAGGGGGAACAGCAGGGGAGGGGCCGGGGGCTAGCCTCCCCGGCCAGGAGCTCAAGGGCTGGGCAGAATGGTCCCACGGGCCGGATGTGACCTGCGGGCCGTAGTTTGCCCACCTCTAATTTAGACCATCTCTGGCGGGTGTTCATCTAACCTGCTCTCATGATGGAGATTCCACAACCTCCCTCAGCTTCTATCTCAGAATCGCATTATGGTTCTGATCTACAAAGATCCTTAGGCACCTAAACTCCAGCCACAATCCCCATTTTAGGCACCGTGATCCACAACCCCCCGCTTGGCTGACACCTACCCCTGTAGGCACCCAAATTCACTCAGGACATAAATCTCTGTGTAAGTTCTCACCTGTCTAAGCTTCTGCCTCGGGGCACCAAGAGTGCACTGCTGCCTCACTCTAAATGTTTGGGCACCTATCTCCCACCTAGGCCCCCGGCGACACATAAACTGGGGGGAGGAGCATCTAGCTCACCCGTGGGGCCTGATCCAGTAGATGTGCTCAGAGGCCACCCAGAACTGAGGTGAGAGACAGGGAAGAGAAGAACCTTCCTCATGGGCAGTGTGTGAACCACCACTCCGCCCCCTGCCCCTCTCCCCGAGCCCCTGCCCAAGCTCTGAGCTCCCCTTCGAGGCTGCTGCACCCACAGTGCCCCCAGAACCCGCACCTAGCAGCAGCTGCCATAGGGGAGCTGTCCGAGGAAAGCACTGACCCCCTGCCTCCCTGCACCCCAACCCCCTGCCCCAGCCCAGAGCCCACACCCCGCACCCCCTCCTGCACCCAAACTCCCACCCAGAGCCTGACTCCCCAAGCCCTCCTGCATCCAAACTCCCTCCCAGAGCCTGCACCCTACACCTCCTCCCGGACCCCAACCCCCTGCCCCTGCCTGGTGAAAGTGAGTGAGGGTGGGGGAGAGCGAGTGAGAGAGGGAGGGGGATGGAGAGAGCAGGGGGCAGGGCCTCAGAGAAGGGGCGGGGAAGGGGCCATGGCAACAGTCTTTGGGTTTGCGCCATTAGACAATTGGCAATGCTACCAGATGGGCATGTGGCAGCCTTGGCCATGCTGGAAGAGCGCGCCCAACAGTGCAGCCGGCAGCACTGCCCAAATGTCAGGTGGACCGTGTCTGCATGGGCACAGCTTGTGCATGCCTGGGGGCCCAATGACTGTTCTGCCCTGGGGCCCGGAATTGCTGTCGGCGGCCTGATCACTCCTATCTCCATTAAATCCTCACCTTTCACAGCTCCCTCCTCTCCCAGTTCTCCTCCTGCCTCGCTAATCGCTCTCGGTGTCTGTTCTGTTGGGTCGGTCTCTTCCTGTCTCTCTCTTTCACAGCACATCCCCCAAAGCTCAGTGCTTGTCCCTAGTGGTTCTTATGGACACTCACAGCATGAGATACCACCTCTATGCCAGTGACTCTCAAACTCTTGCTCTGCTAAAGATCGTTCCCATGCATCCCATCCCATATCTCAGCCTGTCTGACAACTCCTTCTCGTCGATGGCCAGAGGGCAACTAGTTCAAAGCTCTTCTGGCCCCCTCACAGCCCACCCCACTTCCTAGTTTCTTCATCTCTTTGGATAACACCACGAGCCCTTCCTGAGGCAGGGGGCTGTGAAAGCTCTCCCTCCCTCCCTGCCTCCCATCCCGCACACTGGGCTGCCCCGAGCTAGGTACCAGGATCTCTGCCCCTTCTGGGAGCCAGGGATTGTTGTCCTGAGGTGGGGTGTGAGGCCTGAGCTGGCTGCAGGGAGCCCAGACCAGAGTGGGGGGCCTGGGGTCTGAGCCCTGCTCAAGATGTCTCCTTATGGGAGGGGCCAGGGGGTATTTTCCCTGCCCTGGCTGGGAGAACCACTCCATGATGTAGGCCCAGGTCAGGGGTTGTGGGGGGAGAAAAAAACTGTCCTGTATTTTTGAAATACAGTGTTGGCCACCCCAACAACATCTCCATCAGCCCAGTCAATCTAGACATCGTCTCTGACTCAGCCTCTCTCTAGGCCCCCATGTCCTGACCTCACCCCAGTCTCCCTGCTCCTGCGTGTATAACACTTCACAGCTTCAGCCTCTTGTGTCCGTCCCGACAGCCCAGGCTCTCGTTCACCCCATCATCTCACACCTCCACTGCTGTGATCTCCTCCTACCTGGCCTTGACGCCAGCCGCTTTGTCCCCTCAGCTCCATCCAAAGCACG